TACCTGGGCCCTCGAGTCGCAACGCTGCTTTAGCAGAACGCCATTCCCGCCGCTCATCGAAACTCTATGCTATGCGCCAGGATCTCCACGACAGGTAGATTATGGCAACATGAACGAGTCTGCGGGCCAGCCACACGAGCATCTTGCTACAGTGGCCGACAGTTTCGGAATTGTAATCGAGGGCAGAAGGGCACAAGGGCGCTGTTTGGTCAGACCAGTCTGTGCGACAATGCCTTGGATGATAGCAACCGCCTACCGTTCAAGACGAAAGACCCATATCTAGAAAAATTATCAGAGTAGACAAGCTTCAAGGTGGAACGCATCTGCTAGCCCATTTTCGTATCGTTGCGAACAGCGGTCAAGACATTGTGTGTGTCGGCGCCCGTGGTGGCGTGGCCGCGTCATGGCTTAGACAAGTACTTATGAACTAGTTACCGCGTACGGAGTACCCATGATTGATAGATGAGCCATGCGAGGCGAGCGCGAGGTACGCAGTATACAATTCTTTATCGAGTATTTCGTATGCACGCATGTACTCGACAGACAGCCAACGTCTCTCAATTCCCTCAGTAGATGGGACGATGCTTTTGTGTCTTTAAAACAAGACCTGGCGTGACAAAGAGTTATTCCAAGTGGGCTGCTTTACGTTCCACGCGGTGTTCACGCTGCCTTTGATGAATCTTCTCCAAGCTGCAAACATGGTCTCCGGCAAGCCGAGATCTGAGTGTTTGAGTGTGCGTGGTTCAATTTTGGCCATCAAGAAAGACTCCAAGGTAGAGGCCTCAGGGCGGCGAGCACGCTAAACCGCATCTGGCGACCGCGCATGGATGGCTGCGGTTCAGGTACAGGTACGTAAACCACAAGCTCGACCGCCCCAAAGCGCGTCCCTCACCAACACAAGGCCCTAACCTTGCCCTGTATGTTTTTGATCTAACCAACCGCCGAGGCAGTCGTTGTTTTTGCACTGCAAAGACACGTCCGCTCGCTTTGAGGAGCATCAATCCCTTTGTGCGGCTCTCGTCTTTTACCCGGAATCGCCCTTCTTTTGGAGGCTGCTTCGCCTTATTCGTTTGGGGTCGCTGCATTTCGCGCGTTGCCCGTGCCCACCGCCCCTGACCTGTGTGCCTCCATCACGAGGGGCGTGGTCCATGATCACAACAACACCGCGGCACGAATACCACCGTCAGAATGTCTGCGAATAGCATCAAAGTTGTGGCCCGATTCCGGCCCCAAAACCGGATCGAGCTGGAGTCGGGTGGAAAACCCATCGTCACCTTTAGCTCAGAGGATTCATGTTCCCTCGACGTATGGAACCCCTCCCCTCGTCTTGTCACTGGTGCCTGACGACTGGCCCTTGCCGCCTTTGCCCAAAAGTCTTGTATCCGTGGACCTAGCTGACAGTGTGTACAGTCCAAAGAGGCTCAAGGAGGATTCACCTTTGATAGAGTATTCGACATGGCATGTAAGCAGCAGGACATCTTCGACTTCTCCATCCGACCCACCGTAGACGACATCTTGAATGGCTACAACGGAACCGTCTTTGCCTATGGCCAGACTGGTGCCGGCAAATCGTACACCATGATGGGCACGAATATAGACGACGACGACGGACGAGGCGTCATCCCGCGAATTGTTGAACAGATCTTCGCCAGCATCATGTCTAGCCCCAGCACAATCGAATATACCGTGCGTGTCAGCTATATGGAGATTTACATGGAAAGAATTCGAGATCTCTTGGCCCCCCAAAACGACAACCTACCCGTTCATGAGGAGAAGAACCGTGGCGTCTATGTCAAGGGCTTGCTCGAAATTTACGTATCGAGCGTGCAAGAAGTCTACGAAGTCATGAGGAGGGGAGGAAACGCCCGAGCTGTGGCCGCTACCAACATGAACCAGGAGTCCTCACGATCGCACTCCATCTTCGTTATTACTGTCACCCAGAAGAATGTCGAGACAGGTTCGGCGAAGAGCGGCCAGCTTTTCTTGGTTGACTTGGCAGGCAGTGAAAAGGTAGGAAAGACGGGCGCCAGTGGACAAACGCTCGAAGAAGCCAAGAAAATTAACAAGAGTTTGAGTGCCTTGGGCATGGTCATCAATGCTTTGACCGACGGCAAATCATCTCACATTCCGTACCGAGACTCTAAATTGACGAGAATTTTGCAAGAATCCTTGGGTGGCAACAGCCGGACCACCCTCATCATTAACTGCTCACCGAGCAGTTACAACGATGCCGAAACGCTGAGCACACTACGATTCGGCACAAGAGCAAAGTCCATCAAGAACAAGGCAAAGGTCAATGCCGAACTCAGCCCCGCCGAGCTCAAGCTGCTGCTCAAGAAGGCCCAAGGTCAAGTCACAAACTTCGAGAACTATATTTCTACACTCGAAGGGGAAGTTCAGCTATGGCGCTCTGGAGAATCGGTCCCCAAGGAGAAATGGGCTCAGCCCGGCGACGGTATTGTCGGCGCAAGGACGGAGCCCAGAACTCCCCGTCCTTCCACCCCATCTAGACTCACAGCCGAGAGCCGAGCAGAAACGCCTGCTGCTACCGACCGCGCTTCAACCCCGAGTTTGACATTGGAAAAGGATGAACGCGAAGAGTTCTTGCGCCGTGAAAATGAGCTCCAAGATCAGCTGGCTGAGAAGGAGTCCCAGGTGACGCTGGCGGAGAAGACCTTGCGCGACACCAAGGAGGAGATGACCTACCTCAAGGAGCACGACAGCAGACTGGGTAAAGAGAATGAACGACTCACAACGGAGACGAACGAATTCAAGATGCAACTCGAGCGCTTGACGTTTGAGAGCAAGGAGGCACAGATTACCATGGATGCCTTGAAGGAGGCCAACTCGGAATTGACGACGGAGCTGGATGATGTGAAGCAGCAACTGCTTGATATCAAGATGAATGCCAAGGAAACAGGTGCAGCCTTTGATGAGAAGGAGAAACGCAAGGCTGAGAAGATGGCCAAGATGATGGCTGGTTTTGATCTTGGGAGCGATGTTTTCAGCGACAATGAGCGATCCATTAGCGAGGCTATTCAACACATTGAGAAGCTACACGAGATCAGCTCGGTGGGCGACAACATTGCACCGGATGAATTTAGAGATCTTCGTGCCAAGCTTGTGGAGACGCAAGGCATTGTCAGACAGGCAGAATTATCAATGTTTGGCTCATCATCTGGCGAAATGGACTCTCGAAGGAGGCACGAACTAGAAGAGAGGCTGGAGGCTATGCAGCAGCAGTATGAAGATCTTCTGACAAAGAACCTTAGCGAGAGCGATGTCGAAGAGGTGAAGGCCCGCCTGGAGCACGCCTATGCCAACCGACAAACGACTCAAGTCGAGCTTATTGACGAGCTGAAGGCTGATGCTGCCCAAAAGGCAGCTGAGAACTCAAGGATGAAGACCTTGATCGAGGACCTCCAGCAACAGGTCAAGACCGGCAGCGGCGCTACCCCTGTAACCAACGGCAAGACTATCCAGCAACAGATTGCCGAGTTTGATGTCATGAAGAAGAGCCTCATGCGAGATTTGCAGAACCGCTGTGAGCGTGTTGTGGAGCTTGAGATCTCGCTGGATGAGACTCGTGAGCAGTACAACAATGTACTCCGGTCATCCAACAACCGGGCACAGCAGAAGAAGATGGCTTTCCTGGAGAGGAACCTTGAGCAGCTCACTCAGGTCCAGCGCCAGCTCGTTGAACAGAACTCTGCTCTTAAGAAGGAGGTTGCTATTGCTGAGCGTAAGCTCATTGCAAGGAACGAGCGCATCCAGAGCCTGGAAAGCTTGCTGCAAGACAGCCAAGAGAAGATGGCAGCCGCCAACCATAAGTATGTAGCCGCCAAATGTATCCGTCCATCTATGATAACGTTGGTAACTGACGCCTTACTTCATTAGGTTCGAGGTTCAACTCGCCTCCGTCAAAGAACGCCTCGAGGCAGCCAAGGCCGGCAGCACGAAGGGTCTCAATGCCACTACCGGTGGCTTCAGCTTCTCTGCCGCTGGCAGTCGTATCGCCAAGCCCCTCCGCGGCGGCGGCGGCGACGGGCCCAACGTTCCTACCATTCAGTCGCTGCAGAACGAGGGTGCCACAAACAAGCGAAGTAGCTGGTTTTTCAACAAGTCGTAATCTTGCACGTCATTTTGCTTCTTGACAGGGCGTTAACGAGTAGATATTACGAATAGATTACACCAAACATACCCCATGACACTCAGTTGATATATTCCAAGCAAAAGACGATTCCCATGTCCTCTCACACGTTGATACGCCTCCCTTTAGCAACATTATGGTATTACCAATGGGCTTTTCTTTGTTATTTTGACCAAACTTTCCTTGTTCGTTATGTTATTTACCACATTTACCTCTTCCACGAGGTAAAGTGCAAGAATTGCACGAAACACACCCCCACCCCCCTCCCCTTCCCAACTCCTTCGCCCCTCTACAACATAGATAAACTGGGTGGCAATCACGATTGGATTTATGACGGAACGGGCCTTTGAGAAAGAAGGACAAGGCATGTTCAATGGAAGAGCAAAGAGGAAAGAAATATTTGGACAAAGGCGTCGCCCTGAGAAAGGGCTGAAAAGAAAGGATGAGAAGCGGAGTCATGGGTACTTACTTGATGGAGCTTTGAAGATGGAGTTGGTTGATGGACAGTTTATGATTGTAGAGCTCACGTGTGGACTCACTACATATGCACAAGTAAATACACCACTTTTGAAACATACTTGCGACATGTCTTGAATTATACGATGAGTGGCAACGACTGACGATATGCTTTGTATATTGTTTCAATATAAATACCAAGTGAGGGAAAAAGAAAAAGAGAAGAAACGCTCTTTGTGATGCGACTGATGACGAGTTTCAGGAAACAACAGGAATAGAGTAGAAGATCGTAATGTTCATAAGCACAGCCGCCCCTTAGCGCAGGCAAAGCACATGGAGCGCTGTCCAGGGGTCCTCATTCTACGCTGTCCCTATCAGGCTTGGTTGTCAAAACTCAGCGCACTTCCTTGCTGTGCTTGGCGATGAAGATGGTCTGGGGCACCAGAACGGCGACCAACAAGGCCATAGCGGCCAGGCTCAGGCAAAACATCTTGACGTAGAGAATCAAGAGGCGGCGCCACGAAGTCTTGCTAAAGGTAGTCCACGCGTCGGAGACGGTGGCGTAGCCCTTGCCGCCAACGACCTCGGGCTCGACCTTGCCCTCGAAGGAGCGGTCAAAGGGGATAATGGTGCTCTGCTCGACGGGCAAGAGGGAGGCCTGGACGCGGACGAGGACAACGTAGGCGGGGATGATGACGAAGACGGACGCGGCAACGGTGACGACGGTGACGACGAGGGACTTGGCGAAGAAGCCGGGGCCGAGGGCGTCCATGTCGAGGGGCTCGTTGAAGCCGCCCTGGGGCATCGTGATGCCGAGGACGAGGGCCATGACGACGGGGACGAAGCGCGTGACCTCGCTGGCGAACCAGAAAATCGTGACGGCCTGCCAGGTGGCTTCGAAGGTGCGCCGGAAGGGAGGTAGGCGGGACCAAAAGGGCAGAGGCGACGGCTCGGAAATGACGATGTGAACCCAGGCGGTGCTGTACTGGACCAGGGCCAGGGAGGCGAGGAGAGTGGCGACGGGGAAGAGGTAGCCGCCAAAGGTGCCGGTGAAGATGCCCATGAGGAGGGTGGTCAGGAGGACCTGGGCGAGGTAGCAGAAGAAGCCGCGAAAGTTGGCCGCGACGCCGCCGTTGGCCATGAGGAGGCGGTTGATGGCGCGGAAGGACGACGTGACGGTGCGAGGGCGGCCGTTGGTGGGCTTGAAGCTGTTGCGCGCGACGCCCTCTTCGCCGCCGGACACTGGCTGATCGAGAGGGACGGGCTCGTAGGCGGGCGGGTTCTCATCTTCTACCATGGCAAAGACGGGGTAGACCAGCTTGAAGGTGTACTGGAACTGTTGAGGAGATTCGGGTCAGAACATGATGGGCCACGTTTGGTGGCAACGGCGATGCTGCAAAGCGGTATCGACGGAGCCGTGCAGAAGCGATCGACTCGGCTCATGGGCTATTCGCAGAGTCAACTTACAAGGAGAAAGACGGGAATCAGAGCCAAGATATCGACGAGAAAGACGAGCAGCGCCCATGAGGGCAGCTCGTAGCCTCTGATATCATGACCGCCCTCGAGGGTGCGCTTGACGTGGAACTGCATGGTGGGTGGGACGCCGACCTCGATGCCGGCAGAGAAAGGGAGAGAAAAGAAAAAAAGGCGACAAAAGAGATCAAGAAGCTGTTGAGATAAACTGCAAACGGATGCAGGAATGTTTTTTAACACATGAAATGAAAATCAATGGTGAGAATCCAGGATTATGGCGGAAGCGACATGGAGGAAGGAGATGCGGGGCGGCGTTGAGTATGAAGAGCAGCAGCTTGAGAACAGTTGGCCGCGGGATGCTGGAGCCTGGCACGAGTACGAGTTCAGCCTCATCCATTCATTCATTCATTCATCATCACTGCCCCCTGCATCCACTCCGGCCGTTTCCCAATCCGTTGTTAATGCCTGGAAGCTGACTGACCAAGGATCGAGGGCCAATGGAGTTGCGCAGGCCACTGTTTCGTCCTGGGCCAACATGTTACAAGTGTGATACGAACAGCTTCGCCTCTCGCCCCGTCGCGGCGTCGATAATCAATGCCGGAACAATCAGACAGTGAGCCTTTTTATTTCGGCGGGCCACGACCCAGTGGCGAGTCTGCCAGGTGGCCGAAACAAACAGCGTACGGTCTGCTTTATTATCTTTCGTCGTGTGTTCAAATGCTGTGTTCCGCACCAGCAATGGCCAGGTACTCGGTAGCCGCCAGTGGGTGCCGCCGCCGCCGCCGAGGCCACACACACATTCACAGAATCACAGTACGAAGTAACTACTAGTACTCGAGACATGACCAATACTGGAGCTTGGAAGTTGAGCGTGTTCACACCATGCTCGCGCAGATTGAGTCCCCGTCGTTGCCTTCCATGTTGCGTGAGAAGTGACAAGGGTCTCTGTGCGATGCCGCGGGGCATTTTAACGGCCGAGATGCACGGCTCCAAGACAAATATTTGCGAAGGATTTCATCCTCAAAAGTCGAGCCGTTCCAACGGCACCGTACCGAGGTTTTGACTTGACCAACAAACAATGGTTGGCCTGGGGGGTCTATTCCCCAACACCATTTGTCACTCCAAGAAACCATCTTTAGATTAGAGCCTGCCTTGGACTGCCGACGGGCCCAAGGTTTGCGTTTCTCTTCTTTCTGGAACTTCGCGTCCACCGCCTCGTGCTATTTCAAAGTTGCTGCCTTTATAGCGAGAGGCGAATTTCCCGTATGCCGCCCCTCGATCCACCATCATGGCGCTTTATTGCAAGGAGACTCATAATACATACGTGATGATTTCTATTACGTTACACCTTGGATCGGGTGCGAGGCCATTCCTCTTCAACATTCCGCTTGTTCCAAATCTGGGTGATACATAAACCTTGTGGCTGCTGCTCTTCTTCGTTTTTACCATTCTGTATATTGCACCTTTCCTCTTGCCTGTCCCCGTCTGGCGTGGCCGTCATCACCAGAAAGTTGCCGTCGTGATATTTTCAGAACATGGCTCAGTATGATGCTATCGGAACGCAGTATGATGTCATCAAGAAGACGCCCTTCAACAAACTCGAGCAGTTTAATTTTCGCAAGCACATTGAGCCGTTCCTCCAACGCCACGGCACAAAGGTCCTTGACCTAGCATGCGGAACCGGATTCTACTCGAGTCTCCTTCTTGAATGGGGGGCCAGCTTCGTCGTGGGCGTCGACATATCGTCCTCAATGGTAAATGCGGCCAAGGCTCGAATAGCCGAGACACCATACGCGTCTCAAGCTCGATTTGTGCAGGGCAATGGAATCATTCCACAAGAATATAGCGCAGAGAATAAAGGATTTGATGTGGTTTCTGGAGCTTGGTTTCTCAACTACGCCAGCAACCTGGATCAGTTGGCATCCATGTTCCGCACCATATCCACGAATCTAAACTCCAACGGAGTCTTTATCGGCATATGTATGCACCCCGCAGATGACTTGGAATCTTTCGCCTCTGGCGTGAACAACAGCGCCTGGGCTCAAACGGGTGTTCATTACGAATTCGGCAACGTGCTTCCGGGGGGGGTTGGTTTCCCGATAACAGTGTTTGGCTCTGTTTCGCCAGATAGCAAGGTTGAATTTGGGACATTTCATCTCAAAAAGAGCCTCTATGAACAGGCGGCCCGTGCTGGAGGGATGGCGGGGAGAATTGTGTGGCAGAATTGCGAGTTTCCGGGCGAAACATGGCGAGAGGAGATTGGCCTCCAGGGCGACGATGATGGATGGCGCAGCCTACAAGCGTATCCGCTATTATGTACTCTTCTTGTTTGGAAGGAATAAGCCGTAGACGCTGGGCGAGATTGTATGAGATAAGTGTATGAGATGAGTAATGATATCAAAGTGCCTGGCAGCTGCGGAGAGCTCTGGCAACCTGTAGAGTACATAACTCGATTGCATGTATGTAAAGCAATTTGATGGTCTGCCGGTGGTGGGGCAGCCATCGGTGATCACTGCTGATCAGTGGTCAAAACCTGCCAAGTTACGGCGCAACTGCCACTAGACCACTTGCGCCGCTCCTTCCTGCTGCAAGCGCGTTGCGGCCTCGGAGAGCCTCTCGCTCGGCCGTGCCTGCCCAGACCAAGCCAACGTAAATTGCCATCCGTATTCCTACCAGACTGCAACTGCAGCCCTTCACGGCAGATGGCTGCTCCATCCATACCGAATCTCCTTTCCCTGAGGGGCAGCGGTCGCGGCGGAGGCCGTGGAGGCAGGGGAAGACGCCAGGCTGGTCCATCGGCCTCATCCACGGGAGTATCTCCAGATGCCACTATTCAGGGCACAGATACCGATGCGGCTGTGTCACGGCTGAGTGCCGTCGAACTGGGCTACCTGGAAGATCCCTATGCGCGGTTCTTCGTAACCGGGCCCCCGACAAGACGGCTGCCCATTATCAATCGAGGTCTGTACCGCGGCACCAAGACCACCATAACGCCCATATGAACAGATACTGATGGCCATACAGGCACCTATATGCGAACCAAGTCCCTAGATGCCATGGTAGACGCCTTCCTCTCACACAACGGGCCGTCACTGAAGCAAGTGATATCTCTTGGCGCTGGAACAGACACAAGACCACTGCACATGCTGCAAAAGCCTGGTGCCCAAAATCTCATTTATCACGAAGTGGACTTTGAACCTACATGCCGGCGCAAGTTGGCCATCACCCAATCATCACCCGGACTACGTCGCATATTCAATGACCTGAGCATTCACGACGGCGGATCATGGAGCGCCGAGCCTTCAAAGGGCGGCGAGTATCACTGCCACGCATTAGATCTACGCAGCATATCCGAGTCCATCACAGAGCTGCCGTCCCACATTCGCAGCGACGTCCCAACCCTGCTCTTGTCTGAATGCTGCCTCTGCTATCTAACGCAGCAAGACTCTGAAAATGTTTTAAACTTTTTCAGCTCCAGGATTCATAGCCTCGCGGCATTGTTGTATGAACCGATGCCGTTGCATGACGCATTTGGCGACATGATGGTTTCTAATCTCAAAGCTCGACACATTTACATGCCTTCTCTGCAGACATATAAAGACCAGCAAGGGCAACTGGCAAGGCTGCGGCACTCGGGATTCGACAGTGTTGGGTATGCCACGATTGAAAATACGTGGGATAAGTGGGTTGATGAGAAGGAGAGGGAGAGAGTAGATCGTTTAGAGGGGCTGGACGAAGTCGAAGAATGGAAGCTCCTGGCGGCACATTATGTGGTGGTCTGGGGAGCTAGGGGTGCTACATTTGGTCCCTTGGCCGATAGGAATCAATCCGCAGAAATTCAAGGTCAAAAATGAATAATAATAAAAATGGTAAATTCGACCCAAATACAGTTGGAAATTCGAAACGGCATCTTCGATTCCATGGTTGGAAAGTCAAGAGATGGTGTCAATGCGGTCAACCTTCAACCTTGAACTCGGAAAGTGGGTCACGTGTACCCGTGCGGTGATCTCTCGCTCCGAGTTCGCGGCAAACCAAACCTTCCCATAACTTATTGCCAACGACACATACATCGCTGCGGCCTTGTATACCTTGCTTCAACTAGCAATCCGTCCAGCTACTTTTTGGGGCGTGCCCTTTCTTAGTCTCGTTCTGAACGCTCGTACCAAAGACACCTTTGGATACAAAGCCTCACGCTCACTCTCACTCACTCTCGCTCTCCGTCGCCCTTCAGTCCAGCGCTCATTGCGCATGTCTTTCACCAGCCTCGCATATAATCCAAACTCCAAAATTCATCACCGAATTGTGACGCGATCAGGCATCCATCTTTGTATATCTCACATCCATAGCAGGGTAGACAAGTCGAGCACTTCATCACCTCAGCCACCTCAAGTCATCCATCCTTGTTTCCTCGGTAGACGTTGAGTCGCAAGGATGGCCGACTCCAGGGACAACAAGGCGTACAAATACCGCCAAGAAATCAGTCAGGTACCACATCTCCAAAACATATCACGGCCTTCCAAGATGCCGAGGTGTGCGAGAAGTAAAACGCCGCTAACCCCGGCAGATGATGTACGTCTCTGGCGAAACCGGCGAACCCTCAGTGGAAACTACTAGCATCATCGAGGACATTGTCCGCCAACAAGTGATAGAACTGGTAAGCAAAAGCATCGCGCTCACCCCCCCTCTCCCCAAATCCCCTTCCTATTCCGAAATACAACGCTCACCGGCAACGCCTTTCCCCAGCTCCGCAACTGCACAGAACTCGCCTCCCGGCGCGGCTCCAAATCCATATCGACAAACGATCTCATTTTCCAAATCCGCCACGACCAAGCCAAAGTCAGCCGCCTCCGCACGTTCCTCTCCTGGAAAGACGTGCGCAAAAACGTCAAAGACTCCGACGACAAGGGCGCCGACGCGGACCTCGCAGGTGGCGACGACGCCGTCGTCCCCGGCGGCCCCGTCGACGAGGCGGCCAAGAAGAACAAAAAGGCCAAGGTCGGCCTGCCCTGGGAGCCGGCATCCTTCTACTCCGTCGAGGTCCCCGAGCGCGACGACGAGGAGGACGAAGAAGAGGAGGAGATGAACTACATCACGCTCCAGCGCCTGCGCAAGGCCGACGAGCGCACAAAGGCCATGACCAAGGAGGAATACGTCACGTGGTCCGAGTACCGCCAGGCGTCGTTTACATGGCGAAAGGGCAAGCGCTTCAGGGAGTGGGCCGGCTTCGGCATCGTGACGGACAGCAAGCCGTCGGACGATATTGTCGACATCTTGGGCTTCCTGACGTTCGAGATGGTGGCCACCTTGACCGAGGTGGCGCTCAAGGTCAAGGAGCAGGAGGACACGGCGAGGGCGCAGAGCGGCGCGGACAACGCGGGGACCAAGAAGAGGAAGCTGCAGCTTGGGGGACTGTTTGATCCGCCGAGCGAGGGCAAGACCCCCGTCGAGCCCAGGCACGTCCAGGAAGCGTTTAGACGCTTCCAGCAGTGGCCCAAGAAGACGAGGGCTATGCTGAATGGGACCAGGATTGTGCAGAAGACACCTCTCAACATCATTTGAGGCTGTTGCGGCTCGCCTCCGGCGGCTTTGTATTTTGTTCGACTGTATTTCTACCTTGGGTGGTGGCTTGGGCTTGTTGGCGTTGGTTTAGTAACGACTTTGGTCTGAATGATGTACCACGGAGAAGCATTGCGTTGGCGCCTGACACTTTTGGACATGTCTTGAACACCTATAGATGGTTTCAACGACCACAGCAGGAAGCGTGGGATCCGCCTTGATGAATATCAAGGAATGAACTTTTTGAACTTTTTGCTATGCTACGCGCTGTGGCTAACTGTAAATCGCCGTCTCCTTACTACCGTATCGTCTCTCATTAATCTTGCCCCAACTCGCTGTAGACTTCTTGGTATGGCTTCGTCTTCATCCTCCGAGTCATCGGTTCCACGACCTGGCTCGCCTTCCACTTGACTTAGTCCTAACGGCTGGCCAATGCCTTGTGGCTCTGTTGCGGTTGCCCGTCTTCTGAGCGTCTCCAATTCTAGGCCACCCCCCTCACCATTTACTCGACTAGAAGCATGTGAACTTTTGGACAAAACCCTGTCCAAGTCCTCATCTTGTTCAGTCTCCAGCTGTCGAATATACTGCCGATATTGCGGCCGCTCCAGCAAACCGCTTCGGAAGGCATTAACACCAACCAACAACTTTACCAGTTCTGCTAGCTCTTCAAGATACTCAATTATCTCCATTTGACCAGATGTGCTGGCATTCCAAGATAGAAACTTGTGTTGGGTTATTAGACTTGCAGTGTCCTCATCGAGATTGGGCCTTCGGCGGTGGTACGCAAGTATGTTTGGTTTCGGTCCCTTTGGGCTTTGCGCTATCAAGAGCTCTCGGATACGACTGATGAGCCTTAATTGAGCCAGACGAGCCGATGGAAGGAATTGAGGTAGTGGAAGCCACGTAGTTAGCGCCTCATGCACTGAAAACAGGATCAAAGTGCTGCTCGCGGCAACGTTTCTACGGTACGTGTACACTTTCGGGTTCAAGTCCTCCAGGATGGATGAACCATACACTCTGCGGAGTTGGACCACGTTATCCATGCGGTCGATGATCTGGTGTAGGACGTAAATGATTTCCTTGTATATCGGCGCCAATGGCTTGAAACTCCCTTTTAGACGTGGTTCAGTGAGACAAAACGGCAAGAACATCTCAGCTGCTGCTAGTGCCCCTTGAGCTTTGTCGCGAGAATGGCTAAAACGGGTCAGAAGCTTGGAAGACCGAAAGTTTGGCCGCTCTGGGTCATCGATACCAACCGCCACGGCGGCTTGCATCTTCTGGACTTGGCGAACCGATGTAGATAGGGACTCTACCAGGCGGTCTCTGGCTCGCACAGGCACGACGAGGGTCTCAACTACCATAGCTACCAGACCACCGACTAGAAACGCAACAAGTCGCTTGTAGAAGACTTCAGAGGCTGCAGTAGTTTCATTAATCGCAGCTGATATACAGTCAGTTCGTTACTCACATTGCGGCCTCTGTGTTATATTGCTCACCTAAAGCAACAACTGCCAGCGACACAATCGATATCATCCCTGCCTTGACATATTTGGTAGCAACCTGTACATATGCAGACGGAACTATACCAAAAAGAAGAATCACCACAGCAGCAACACGGTTGCCTCGTCCAATTTCCACCGAGAGATATCCAACAACGCAACCAAAGATGACACCAAAAAGCCGAACGGCAAAAACAAATAACGAAGTGCCAATGGCAACCTCGAATACAAGAATAAGTTGCATGGGAGCCCACACCCCTTTTGCCTCACTGTACCAGGCATTCGAAGAAGAAACAAAAGCTGGCCAGGTGACCAAAAATATTGCAATTGCCAGCTTCAATGCGTATTCGACGTCGTCAGACTGCTGTACCCACTCCAAAACGTCTGCTATTGTGCTTCGAAACTGCGCAACACGGCCATGCGGGGACTGTTTCCTGTCCCGACGGGTTGGTTTGCTTGACGAGTCTTGTTTCTCTTGAGTCTTGTGGCTACCAGCGACTGCAGAGCATGTTTCCTCATCATTAGGCGGTACTGGAGCTTTGATTTCGTCGCTTGATGGCTCGGCCTTTTCCTCGGAAGATGGACTTTGAAGTCCCTGACGCGCTGCCTTTTTTGCTTCTTTGGGAAGAACCATGGCATCGGCTTCCCCGCCGGAGGTTAGCCATTTCCGAATATTCCTGTATTGAGGAACCCAGACCCGAAATTTGTTATGTCGTCTTTGTCTTTTTTCTACAAGCGTTCTTACGTGTCGAAGCATGTGCAGGATCTGAGTCGCCGAGTCGCGAAGTGCAAGGATGAATGAGGACACAAGGAAGGTCTCCATACGTGGCATGAAATCTACTGCACGCCCCGATTCATCCATAATGGCTTTTTTGAGTGCCTGGGCAGATCCTGCATCGAAAGCGGATATGCAAGCAGAGAACTCGTCGATCCGGGAATCAATCTCTTCCAAGAGTATCCCGTCCGGCGCGGGCGATCCAGAGGGCAGTTTTGGAACTTCAAAACAATAGGCAAGACATGCTATTAGTAGATTCACTGCCTCTTTTATAGAACTTTGGAAATCTTGTACTGGGAGTCGAATACGTTGGATAGTCATCTCGAGAAGCTGTGAACTGCCTGCTTCAATCTCCCTGACTGGTTTGACGATCTTGACCTGCTCTTTGTGGTGTGATGCTTCCCTTCTATTTGGACTAATTGGATGGGTTCGTTGTGCCCTTCTTGTTTGAAAGTCTGGCGTTTCCGATTCAGTGCTCTCTTTATAGTCTGGCAAGATGCCAAGATGGTCCTCGTTACCAACAAGCACAAACTTATTCTCGCAATTGCCTATGAGTGTAATGATGTTCTGGACAAGACTTGTCATGTAGCGTACACTAATAGGCTTCATGGCGATCGGGGGTAGAGGTGAGGTGGAGATCTCAAAATTGACCTCGTCTTGAGCGGCTTTGCAACGGGAGAGCTGTGAACGCAATTTGGACTTTTGCGCTGTGAGAAAAGCCATTGTAGTTCGGTGGACAGGCATAGTAGCAACTGTTGCCTGGCTTTTGCCCGTATGAAACGGGTTGGGGAACTCTGAAGCAAAGGCTTTAATGTTCCTCATGGTCTTTCGTCTTGCTCGATTCATGGTCCTGCTGGTCCTGGCTGTAGAAGTTGTGGCGAGAGCATTTGAGCTGATTTTTGCTGCTTCAGGAGCATCACAGCCTGGTGTGATAAACCAGTGAGTCGCTCGTGCCAACGTGTCCACGGTAGTCGACAGAGTCTCAATCGTAGATGAACCAAGGTAACTGCTGGATAGTTCCGGAAAGAGAGCCAAATTAACCACCACCAAAACGCCACCTCCAAGCAAAATAGGTATATAAATGGTTGTAAATAAGGATGTGGTTGCGTTGCTCGGTAGCTGAATCGTAAGCAATGCAGCAACAAGAAGGAACAAGACAAAATTAAAGAGCCGAGGGCTCATAGATCTCACAAAGCCGTGAATCAACACAGCAACCAGAAGAAACAAAGCACGGATAGTATATGCTGCGGGTGCATTAATATCCTGAACGAGGCTCGACAGGTACAAGCCGAGAAGTGACCATGACAGGCCCAACAGCGCCCCAAACAGAGTCATGAGCAGCTCCTCCATCATGCGACCCATTCGTTGTCCAGGATGGGCAAACACAACAACCATGGGTATCAAGAATGTCGCCGTGGTTTTGAAGTGAGGAAGTATAGCAATGATGGTGGCAATGGTGCAGGCGAGGGAATACTTGACGATCCGCTGCCACAATGCATTTTGTTGCCAATCGCCCCAAATGGCTATGACCAGGCTCCGGAATGGATTCGAGGCTGCCATAGTTTGCGAACTTGTGAACCGAATCCCATTGCAGCGGTCATCGCGACCCGACGAGAATGTTCCGAGAGGATTTGAGGTATTGGCCAGACTTGGTTGGCACCAAAAATTTGCAATCTCTACCACAACGCAATACGCGGGCCGCCGCAGGCTGATAGGAACAAGCTCAAAGGCAAAAATCAAAGAGTCTTGCAGTCCACTCAAGCGTTGGGACTGAAGAAGACTTATATTGTACCATCAATTTAGCCTAGGCATGACGGTTGGGGGCGGATCGACAATGTGAGGTGAAGTCATGACACTACGCTAAGACGGCAGCTTTGGTCACGAGAAGTTGAACTAGTTGACAGTAGTTCACCATGGCTCCCCACACTTGCCGTTGACGATGGAGCCATTTAAACTGAAGGAGCGACTGAGACCGGCAAGGGATGAAGAACCAGGTACCCAAACAACTACGCCGATCCAGAGACTTTTAAAAATGGCAGCCCTGTGCGTCTTTGGTAGATGTATTTGATGCTGCTTCAGCAAAGAGATCTGTCTTAGCGTTAAATGTACTCCGTACCGTGCCGAGTACAATGCCAGGAACCAACCAGCGTTCCATTGTATGTAAGAGTTACACCAAGCCTCCAGGGCCACTTACACCTGCCATCGGCAACCCACAGCGGGAGACAGAGATATCAACTGGTAGAGAAACTGACCGACAAGATGCCTGGCTGCATACCAACCTTTTCTGTGCTGTATGACTACTAGACAGCTACTTGGGCAGGTAGATCCCAACTTATGCCGCCGTAGACTCGATTCACTCAATTGACATAATTGGCCCATTACAACCGGGAGTAATTGCGGAAATGCCAATATTCAATCACGTCAAACCACAGTCAGTGCTCCTCAGACCTGCTCTTCACCAACAAGCGCCCCGCCACGCGACCGCCCCCCTCAAGCCAAACCACCGAAGCTCCGAACCCCTTCCCTACAACAGACACATCACCACCACATCCGCAACGTCCAACGCAGCCGGCCAACCCCCGCCACCGCCATGCTGTCCTTTATCCTCATCCAAAATCGCCAGTTCGTCCCCCTTCTCCCCCCCTAATACTACCCGTCCAAATCCGCTAATGCAAACCTCTTCTCACCAGGGGCAAAACCCGCCTGGCAAAATGGTACGCCCCCTACAGTGACGACCAAAAGATCAAGCTCAAGGGCGAGGTCCACCGGCTCGTGGCGCCCCGCGACCAAAAATACCAATCCAACTTCGTCGAGTTCCGCAACAACAAGATTGTGTACCGCCGGTACGCCGGCCTCTTCTTCTGTGCGTGCGTCGACACAAACGACAACGAGCTGGCGTACCTCGAGGCCATCCACTTCTTCGTCGAGGTGCTGGATGCCTTTTTCGGAAACGTGTGCGAGCTGGACCTTGTCTTTAACTTTTATAAAGTGTATGCGATACTGGATGAGGTCTTCTTGGCCGGTGAGATCGAGGAGACAAGCAAGCAAGTTGTTTTGACAAGATTAGAACATTTGGACAAGTTGGAGTGATTGTCCCTTCTGGTTGGACAGAGAACAAATGCAGGCGGAGATGGCTTGGCTTCGCTGAAGGGTCAACCTCTTCAAGATTTTATTGCATAGCACTTGACGATATCCCTTGTTGAGGGTTCAAGTTACATCATGGAGTTGGGCGTTGCGGAAGGATTAACCGGGATACCATGGACGACATTGCTGGGTGGCTTGGTTATTTAAGGTCAATTTCATTACATTCAATTATCTAATTTTCTCGAGAGGAAAATAGCAGTGGCGTAACACCAGTCACGCTGTCGGTTGTTTACTTCTGCCTTGCCCTCATCGACTATCACTACATTCAACATCATTTCAACCCAAGACTTCGATATGCTCACAGAGTTCACAGCCGCTTCCATCCTGCTTCGCCTCGACATCAAGGGGCTGAATAGCTACATTACTCCGTTGCAGATTATCTGCAATGATGTGCCCAATACTACTTCGGCCCCTGTCCTCCTCACCTGCAACAAGAGCCTTTGTCGCAGATGCGCTCCCCTCTTCCTTTTCCTCAACAGCGCCAACAACCGCGGCGTCGCTCTTGTCTTCAGCTGCAACTAAAGGGTCAGCCGTGTCGCCAATCTGCTTTACCTCCATGCTGGCAAAATAAATAGCTTCGCCGTTATGGTGGTGCAACTGGCACGCAGCGACGTGCCAAATATCATCGCACTCCTCACGTTGCTTGTTTGAACCAGACAGGCTTGTTACAGAGGAAATGCTGTCATCTTCCTCCCCTCCCGCAATGCCGCCAGCTGCGGCACCATTCTTATTACCTTCAATTGCAATGGAATGGTCAATGGCGCCATGACTATCCTCCAGCTTGACTGCGACCAACGGAGCCTCATTTTCGGCTCCGGTAGTAAGTTCGATATTGTCACTGCTGCTCTGCCACAGCTCCATTGCCGTTTGCCGTGCCTCATGGGTAGTGTGCTCCCACTCTCGATTCGGAAACAGGTCATGGACACTTGGGCTGCGGCCAAGACGACTGGCGGGATTCATCGATTCTGTACTCTCAGGACCGCCCGGTTGTGGTTCCGGGACGGAGCTCCCGTCTTTGTCATTTGCACCCGGGATAGGTATCCGGCTGGTCAAAAGGGATGGCGAATGGCTGCCATCCAACACTTCGCCATCTTCAAGGCCTGTTTTGAGCTTCTTGGTCATCGGCTCATTTTCTAGACTGATCAGTTCTTCAGGAGAAGTCTTTTGATAAAATTTCCTCTTGAGTGCGAGCCCGAATCTGGACAAAAAATCATCTGCGGTTTGGCAAGGTACTTCACCTGCTTCGTTGTCCACTGTTTTTGTAGCATCTCTCTCTTCATCCAACGAGTCACAATTGTCCTAGGCGGCGTTAGGCCGAGAAAACAACGTGAATCATCTATACTCACCTCCTCCTAGGGGGATAAGCGACCAACTTCATGTCGGGGAATGCTCCATTGGCGACTCTTTTCAGATTCAATACTCATCCTGGGGCGACTCTGTGGCCCACAGTCCAAACCATCACGAACACCAGGGCGAAGGGCCAGTTTACTCTGTTCCATGTTGACCGACGGCAAAAAATCATCACAATGTTTTGTAGGCGTCGGCTTTGTTAGAAAATACCCCCTCATGACTTCTGCTGGATGAGGAGACACCTGAGAAGGGACTTGCGTGTTCTTCTCGGTAGCAAACTGATTCCTCTTGCTGTATGTGCTCCATTGGGTATTGGGCCGACGCCACTCGCAGTCCCAGACATAGTGAGAGCCGGACACTCCGCAAATAGCGCAAATATATCTTGGATGTGGAGGGGGATCCCACGATGAGTCGTTGATCGTGGGACAATCGGAGATGGCATGCCCTAAGGCAACCTGTTTAGCCATGAATATGTCGCAAAAATTGCTAGATACACTCACCTGCCGTGTGACATCTTCGACAAATATCCTTGGCAAGAGGTTTTGTCAAGCTAAGACCACCCGGGGCCTTGGAGGCTTCTAAGTTATTTAAAATGCCTTCCTTCTGGGCAGCCTGGTCGTGTGCCTCCTTTTCCTGGCCAGGCGTCTCATCAAGGTGCACAAGTTCAGATGTTCGTTTCTTGAGGAGCTCCGTTCTATCCAAGCACAATTTTGCCGTCTGATGTGTAGAGACACCATCCCGGCTCTCACCGGGCTCCCAGCCTAGTTTGATCGTTTTCTCTGCGCAGCCTACCGCAGCAACAGAGTGTTTAACGACCGGAGGGGGTGGCTCCCAGTGGTTATCCATAGTCTTCCCTAAAAATGCGTCTTGAGGATAAGAACCAGAGCCACCTGCTTGCTTCTTATTAGGGGAAGGTTGGCCCCGACACAGATGACTTTTAATCTCTTCATAAAGCCTGGTCATTATTTTTCTTGACCCTGGATCGCATCGTTGATGGTAGAGCCAGATATTTTCCAGAGAATACTTCCAAAAATTAAGGACATCCTCTTCATTGCATCGCTGGTTAGCCCAGGAGGTGCACCAAGTCTCGATTGGAAGTGTCGAGAACGGTGTCTGCAAAGCCTTGGTCTGAAGCCAAATGATGCACATGGATATGACATTGTATCGTGAGAGCCTCTTATTGACGGCTCTGATCCGACTGTGAAGAGTGTCTAGTCTCATTTTGCCAAGGTCGTTGAAGTCCCGAAGACCGCTGAATCCCACGATGTATCGGAGAATATTGAGCGTGCAGTCTGGGCTATCCATTTCGATGATGCTTCTGGGAGACCAATGGCTGCACATAATGGGCGTTTAAGCGCTCAAGAATAAATGGCTGACTCCAAAGGGTTGCCAATAAACAGACAGCAAGGCGAATCGAGAACGCAAACAATCTCAAGTCTCGAACGTAGGGGGAAAAAAGGAAAGATTAAAAGGAGAAGGCGCGTGTGGGAAAAGACAGGGAGTTGCCTGCCAGCTGGCAGACGGCCATTGACAGTTGCTCAATACAACATGAGGACTTTAACTCCTAGATCCATATCTACTAGGTACCTAGGTACCCAGTGGCTACCTAGCATACTTCTTAGAACGTTGAAATATATTTATATCAAGATATTTCAGGTCCGAATACACGACGGTTTGCAACGGGAGGCTAAGCCTGTTAGCCCATCGGAATGCTTGCATATCGCGCGCGATACTCTAAGATACTAGGACTTGTGAACGTGTACTCATGCATACCTATAGATTAGGTACCTAGTATCTAAAAGTATTCAACATAACAAGTGCTCGGCACTTATTTATTCAAGTTGTTAAGCATCTCGCCAGAAGCTGACTGTATATGAAAATGAACGCTGTGAGCATATTGCGCCTGCAAGTGGTACAAATAACTACGCATGCCTCCTTGTCTCTGCAACCACCCCGTGCCATTCATCCGTCACCTCTTCTTCAAAGCCGCGAACCTCCTCTCCAAATCACTTATATCGGGCACCGCCCCCTCGGGCTCCTTTCTACTGGCCGCCGCCTCCATCCTCTTATTCGGCTTCAACTCGACCGACCCCAGCGTCACCTTGGGATGCACATTCTCCGTCGTCCTCCTCGGCGGCGTAACCGTCACAGGGCTCCTGGGACCAGCAAAACCTTGCGGCGGGGTCGCCTTGTTCAGCTCCTCCTCGCCCCTGGACAGCTTTCTTCCGGTCGTCAACTGCTCTGCTAGAATCTTCTGCCCTCCCGACTGATTATCCTCGTCATCACCCTCGTCGAAACCATCAATTAGCTCCGCGGGGGGCGTGACCTTCTCCCTCTTTGGCCAGTCAACACCATATGCTCTCGCAATCTCTTCCAAGTATCCTTGTACGAGTTCCTGTTTTGGCGGCTCGACACTTAGTTTTTTGACAACCTTTTCATTCACCTTGCCATCCGAGTTATCCATGGCTGTGAGAACAAACTCCTTGCCGTACTTCTCCCCGAGGAGCTGTCTAACTGTCGCGAGTTCCTTGATTTCCGTCTTTGGCGCAGCATAGATGATACTCTTGATAGCTTCCTCTAGGCCAGGATCGCACACGGAACTTTCCATTAGCCCCGCACGGGCGAGCAATAGTTCGCAGTAGAGCTCCAACATCTCATGGAGCTCGGTTGTGATATCGGAGCGGATGATGTTCTCGACGCGAATGGTGGCGGAATCGATCTTGCCAGCTTCGAGAAGTTGGGCCATTGCCCGCTGCTGAGACTTGCCCAGTTGCTCATCGCGCTGCTGTACCATTCGCAGTCGCGCGATTGCGAGCTTGAGCTGAACCTTCAGTTTGGTCTGCGACGAATCAGTGTTGGTCAGCTTCATGGCTTCAGGATACATGTTGCGTCACCGATGGATATGGCGGGGTCGTGGCCCGTGGGAGGTTCTGGAGCTCACCAGGATGGATTGTGCGGGAGGCATAGCGGGCGACTTGGGTAGATAATATAAGTTGGATGGTGTCGGATTCACCGCTTGCCTGGCGCAAGGTCACGGCTAAGAAAAAAAAGAGTTGCCTAAATTACGAATGGAAGAGGTTGGATAAATCCAGCTCTGCTGCCTACCAATGTCACCTGCAATGCGACAGAGCCTGCTGTGCAACACCAGACTGGTCGACTTGATGTCCGGAGCTGTTGGCCAGCCTCGAAGCTTATTGCGGGGCAGCTCTGCCCCACCACTAGTATTTGGCATCGTCTACTCCGTAGTGGGCATAAATAAGTCCTGCACACTACATTACATGCACGGAGATCATTAACAGCCATGGTACTGCAAATGTAACTCAGTACCATCTACACAGTTGCTCAGGAGCAGCTTTCTATTCATGTATATTCTTTTCAAACACTAGCCTCCGCCATACGGGGCCCCAAAAGCTAAATCAAAACCGTTCTAGTGTACTCTGCATGTAACAGATCGGTGACAATTCTGTGGTTCAACGGTATCATACCAAATGACGAAAGCAAAACAGAAAAGAGAAAATCCACATCCCTGCCGTAACCACAGCTGTAAGTTAGCTCCAAAGAATTATCATGAATTCCTTCATAGCCTTGTAACGCCTGTATCCAATGCACTAGGTCCTGGTACTACGACCGGCCTGTGCTATGCAGTATAATACTACAACCCACGGTTTTTAAGCACCGTGACAATCGATATCATGCCTGAGTGGCACGTTTCAACCGCATACAACTCATTCCATATCTGTGTCTTCAGCAATAGGGAGTACACCGTCGACAGCCTCTCCCTGGAAAATTTCTTTTCCCTCATAAGTAACACGACGCCATCCACATGCTTCATTGCTGTCTTTGATCCATTCCATCGTGGGAAAGTAGTGATCGTTCTTCTTCATTGTTATTACCCACGGTACGCAATCAAACGTGACAGCCTTTAGGCGGAAGTCTATACAAAGGTCAGAATGCGGTGGTATGTGCATGGCTCAGTGTAGGACCTACAGGTATTATCAGGGATTTTTCGGGTGGCAGCAATAAATGAATCCAGATCTGGTGTAGCCACTTTGTTCACATGTGTGATGAAGTTGGTAGGTGCAACACCATACTGATAGGCTGGCGAGCCGCGGATTCTGCTAGACACATACACCTCGCTGTGAAGTTTGCGAATCTGTTGGCGGACAGCCTGATGAGGACGATGTAGAATAGCACCACAAAATGACACCGCATGGTCGGTCTCAATGTCATCTGCGGGGACGGTGGCCAGCTGCAAGGGCATCTCTTCGCACTCTCGGACAATTACGGCGTCGAGAACTTCATTAGAATACATGACGTCAAAGTCAGAGATTGTGGTGCAAATTTTGCCGTTCAAAGTCAAAATGATATCGCCTTCTAGCAGAGAAACTGGCTGGTTGACTCTTTCAAAAGTTCGTTTGCTGACCATGAAGAGCTGGTGGTGAGATCGGTTGGCCTGCGTCACCTTCTTAATCCAGTCGTCGGAAACACCCATAACAGACGCCTGAGACATTTGAATCGCTCTGAACTCGACCGACAGTAACCGCAGTCTCGGCGATTCGCCCCTTTGAATGGTAGAGATGACAGGCAGCAAGGTTGGCGTCCCCAGTCCGAGATAGTACTCCTCATCTCGTTGGGTGCAGGGAGACCGCTCACCAAGATATGAAAGCCACAAAGCCTGAACAGTTCCATCAGGAGCGACTAAAACACCACTGTTGCAAGTAGAACCGAGGTTGCTGTCAATGGTAATAGCATCCACATTGATTGCACGGTAACGGGGAGCGCCGGTGTTGGCCGGAATGGCGACAGCTGTGATTTCAGTGATGGTTGTAGCACCGTGCACAACACGACCGATTCTGTTGTGGCCCAGGAAGTAAGTTTTGGCACCTTGGCTGAGGTGCTCACTGCTCAATCTAGCACTCTTAACCGGGGCATCCACAAGAGCTGGGTCATATTGGATGATGACATAGTTTTGAAGCGGGTGCAGGAAAACAACTTTGCCCTCCACAATGATGGAGTCTGCGATGGTGACAGTAATGTCACATAGATCATATGGGACAATGGCTCTCGAAATTAAAACGAGACCCTTTTCAGCGTCGATGACTAGACCCATACCCCATCTTCGGTTCTTGGGAAATCCATCCAGCTTCACCGGCATAGTGCAGTTTACGTGAACAAAGCTTTTGATCAGTTCTGCGATGCCAGGATGAGGCATGTGATCTAGTTCGATGAAAGATGCCGAACGACGAACTGGCGGAACCGGTGGCAGCGGGTCTCCCAAGTCGGAAAAGTCCCAGAGGCCCGTTTTGTCATTTCGAACTGCCTGTTTCATCTTGGACGACCAGTGTCTATCCACGTATACAACGGTCGTGTTGAGGGTATGTAAATCGCGAAGGTGCTTGTATGTGACCACTACTCTTGCTTTATCAGGAATTGCCTTGACGACTTGGATGAACGTGTCGAGGTCGGGAACTTTCTTGTGATCGATGGTTTGAACAATCCAGCCGTTGTCCGTATTATCAACCCTGAAAGACCCGGCAGATTCGCAAACATATACCCCCTTGACGGCAACGGCGTAGAGACGAGCCTGTTGGTAGGACAGGTTGTGAAAACTCGCGCCAGCGACTGAGACAAAGCGGTCGGGGGTGATGCTGTGCAAGTCCCCAACCTTGATTTCCACTTCGATGTCCTCGCCGCCACGCTGCAATTGAAACTTGATCGACTCGCCTACATTCGAATCCAAGATGTCGTCGAGCCTGATGAACTGGGTAATGAGCTCCCCATTCACCTTGACAAGGACGTCACCTTCCTCGATTTTGCTATCTGATGGCCCAGATGGCAGAACGATCTCGGCAACAAGCATGTTTGTTTCATCAGGGAAGGCTTTCCGCACCTCTGCCTCCCATTCAGGTTGCAAACCCAGTCGACGGCACTCATCAAATGGCTTCAACAGAAACTGACACTGGATATCGCCACGTGTGACGGGATTTCCCTGTTGGATACACCGAAGAGCGCGCAATGGTCGATCAAGTGGTAGGAAGTAGTCAGTCGAAGCGCCATCGGAGCGGCCACCAGCCTGCAGAGCAACAGCAGAACCATCCTTGGCTACAACGGGACTGCCGGAGCTACCACCACTGGCAGCGGCATTGGCCTGGTAGTAGCATGTATTGAAATCGCTGTAGCCTTCCCCGTATTCGGGAGCATTTCGGTCAAGGCGGCTGATCACGCCTGACAGGATACTAAGCTTTTCGCCGGCATCGTTACCAACTACTCGGATTTCAACGCCAACTGGTAGAGCATGTCAGTCC